TTGTCACAGTAAGTTGAATGGTCCATGAGGGTGATAATTAAATTTAACGATATATTTCTTATTGTGTGTGTGTGTTGTTGTTTTTTAACAGAATTTGCCGTCACTGAACTCTATTAGCAGCATTATAATCTCATGTAGGTATTAGCCAAAGCTAGCCTTCTGTTTCACTTGAGTGCTGTGTTCGATTCCCATCTCTAAAGGTGAAAATGGGAAAGAAGAGGGGAAAAGACAAGACCTCCAAGGAGGATGATGAGCTTGACCTGACAGGTAAAGAATATTTCATCATCTTTTATGTCATGCAACAACCTGTGGAAAGCCTAGTGTGAGACCTCCTTTTCATTTAAATCTTTATTGTCACAGCTCCATCCTGCAGGCATATTAAGAAGGGAACAGACCAAACTCTCCTCAAGAAACTTTCTGGTACCTCAGATTGGACGAGTTGTCAGGATTGTAAGCAGGAAGAAAATAAAGAAAATATCAACAACCATCTGCCACAGGAAGCTGAGGAAGAACAAGAAACAGGATTGTGGATGTGCTTGAAATGCGGCCATAGAGTGAGATTTATTTTTTTTTTTGTACCTATTTGTCATTGGGTTTAAAATGGCGTGCATTTTTTCTAAATGCATCTTATCCACTAGGGATGTGGACGGAATTCTGAGAATCAGCATGCCATCAAACATTATGAAACTCCCCGGTCTGATCCACACTGCTTGGTGGTCAGCTTGGACAACTTTAGTGTGTGGTGAGCATTTTATGTTGTTTTGCTAATCATAGGCCTCTACATCAAGTTTGAAATGAGAATAATATGTTTTTGGTTTTTCGCAGGTGTTATATATGTGATGATGAAGTCCATTACTCCAGAACAGGGCATTTGGCTCAGCTAGTAACCAACCTGAAAAAGCAAACATCTTCAGATCCTATAAAACGACCACAGAAACGTAGGTACCACTGGGGAAGTCTAACACGCACATACATTAGACTGCATCTAACCATGTCAACCCTGTTTGCTTTCTTTAGGGGTCAAGGAGGAAGATGCCTTGATGGAAGCTAAACAGAAGGCGGAGACTGTAAAAGAAGATGAAAATGAGGACAAGGAAAACAAAGAAAACGGGGATCACCAAAAGAAAAACACAAAGAAAGAGACTGTTGGGAAATCTCAGAAGAAGAGCACAACTGAAGAGCATTGTGGTGTTTCAGTAAAGGGTCTGAGCAATCTGGGAAACACCTGCTTTTTCAATGCAGTCATCCAGGTAAGACTGATCCTTACAGGATGCCGGTCTTGAGTTCAGTGAGAGTTATTACTGATTGCTATCGTTTTCTTTTCCAGAATCTGTCTCAAACACAACGCTTAAGACAGACTCTCAACAAAGTGACAGAAGAGAAAAGTCTCAACATTAAACCCGGTGCTTCCTTAGATCTGGTGTGTTTTCCCCACTTAATAGAGTAGTTATGTTCCTCTACTCATTACTATTTATAACTAACTTTCTTTATTATGATGACAGGAGCCTATAGAAGTGCAGTTAGACGGTCCCGGATCTCTAACTTTGGCTATGTATCACCTACTCTGTGAGATTCAGGAATCGAAGAAGAGTGTAGTAACACCACGGGAGCTGTTCACACAAGTTTGTAGAAAGTAAGAATGACTATAGTTTTATGTTAAAAGTCAACTTTAAAATGTGCTTAAAAGTATAGCTCCCAGCATTAGTGCAAGCGTGGCTCATCATTCATCTTATCTGTGCAGGGCTGCCAGGTTCAAAGGATTTCAGCAGCAAGATAGCCAGGAGTTGCTGCGCTACCTGTTGGATGGCATGAGAGCCGAGGAGCACAATGTGTGTACTGAGTTTGAAACAGATCTCCCCATATTTAAGTCTGATAGATTTCTACTAAAATGAGAACTGTGGCTCTTCAGAAGGCTATATGTTACATTGCAATAGATTGGTTTGACAGCAGAACACTGCTATAGTGAGTTGTTTTATGTGGCGGCATTAAATGTAAGAAATTGTGTTTTAAAAACATTTTCTGTGTCCTATTTAATGACCTTATAATTCTTCTTCTCAGACAGTTGGTTAATTTTCTGTGTGCAGAGGTTTTAACAGGAGCAAATTTTAAGGGTAAAGGCCCTAAAATTAAGGTTTTGTGAAGAATGGATGTCTCCATCTTGTGGTTAATCAAAGGTATCTTTCATCTTTTGAATATTACGGTTGTATCTGTGTTAACAGAGAATAAGCTCAGGAATAATGGACACATTGAAACAATCTAGAGAAGGCACAGATGGAGAGCTGAAAACGCTACTAAAAGGCAAGTAATGCTGCTATGTATTATTAATCAGTGTTAAACAAAAGTACGTTGCTAAAGTTTTTGCACAGTAGCTTTTCTTTGAGAAATGTGGCTCTGACGTTTAATTTCTTCTTTCAGAGTATGAGAAAAATGGATTTCTAAAAAACTTTGTTGACCAAGTTTTTGGTGGTGAAATTACCAGCACTATTATGTGTCAGCAGTGTAGAACGGTATGTATGAAGACCAGAAAGTAAGTAAGAGAATATATCCTGATGATGTCACTCTAAAAATATCCACTTGTTCATCCTTACAGGTTTCTGTGGTCACAGAGATGTTTTTAGATCTTTCCCTTCCTGTTTCTGATGAGGTAAAGCAGGCATTTGGGTTTGTTTTTGTTTTTTTGATAGTTACTTGAGTAGTTATTTGTTAATGTCTGTATCAGTTATTGTTCCCTATTGTGGCATCCTATAGGCATATAGAAAGAAGAACCCAAAAAAGAAGACCAGTGCTTCAAGCCAGGATGACAGCAGCAGCCCTGTTCGGACTAGTGGGAATGATGACATTCCCACTGGGGCTGGCAGCAAGTACCAGCAGAAGAAAGCCAAGAAGCAAGCAAAGAAGCAGGCAAAGGTGTGTCAGTGAATGCATACTGAAGGAAGTTTCTTTTTTCTTAAACGTAATTCATTAATTAATCCAAAGTAATCCATCTCGACTTTCAGCATCAAAAAAGACAGCAGAAGCTTGAGGGTAGAGCCACTTTGGACAGTCTCACCTCTCCCAGCCAGGCTGAGAGCGAACACACAGATGCTACAGCAGAGTCAAAGGACAGGGAAAACACTGATAATGAAACACTTGAAGAAGATTCACAACATCCTGCTCCAGTCAGTGTGTCTGAAGAGGACCAAAAGCCCTGCAACGCAGTGCAGGTGGAGCAGGAAAAAGAAGAGGATGAGGATTCAGCGAGTGACCCTGACTCATCAGTCAGCAACCGGTTTACTGCCTTATCAGTGGAACAGCACTCAAAGGACAGCACCGTATGCAATGAAATGGCTAACATGGGTCATGAAGAAGACAAGACAGAAGAGGAAGACACACAGCTGGTGAGGAAGATGAGTAAAGTAACCTTGGATGATGCCTTTATAGAAGACACTGACGCAATGGAACAAAGCATGGAGAGTGAAGATGGAGTGATGGAGACTAAGGAATATACAGTAATAAACCAAGATCCAGAGCTGGCCTTCCACACGATGGCTGTCAGGACAATCCCAGAGAAACAGGAGTGTTCAGTGCAGTCGTGCCTTTTTCAATTCACAGAAGTAGAAACCCTCACGCAAAACAACAGTTTACTTTGTGTCACCTGCACCAAACGGCAGCTGGGGAACAACAAGTCTGGAGGTATTTAAAATGCTTCCACATCAGTACTTAGTACTTAGTCTGCTATTTAATGTCCTTTGCATGTCTATGCACATGCAATTTTACATAGTGAAGTATCACAAATGTGTAATTTTCTTTTCTAATACCATTATTAAACTTTCTTTATACATAGTTTAGGGATCGACTAAAACCCACTGTCTTTTTTGTGCTGTGTTTAGGATCCAAGAAGAATATCTACACTGATGCCTTGAAGCAAATCCTTATCTCCTCTCCACCTTCAGTCCTTACTCTTCATTTAAAGAGATTTCAACAGGTATGCTCTGCACTGATCCAGTTCGCTGTCAGCTAAGGTTTTTATCACAGAGTTATGAGCCAAGCTTTAAAGAACATTGAACCCTTTATGGTAAGGCAATCAAGAAATCACTATTTGGATTTTAATGATGTTTTTTACCTGTAGAATGGCTACAGTATTTGTAAGGTGAATAGACATGTCACCTTTCCTATGATACTGGATCTAGCTCCCTTCTGTGCAGTCAAATGCAAGGTAAGTATGGGAAGTAACATGTTTTATTATACTGTACAAAGACGGCTATAAGTGAATTAAATGTAGAAGCACTAACCACTAGTTGTTTTGAAACAGAATATACCAGAGGGACATAGTCAGATCTTATACGGTTTGTATGGCATCGTAGAGCACAGTGGAACAATGAGGTCAGGTCATTACACGGCCTATGTGAAAGTGCGGCCCGAGTGCCCTCAGCCCTCATCCAATGGACTTACAGACGGTGGGTGTACTCTGGCTTGACCGTTAATAGGATAAACACTTCTAAAAATGAAATGTATAAACTCATCGTTTCCCTTCAGGAGATGCAGAGCCATCCAGAGGATCCTGGTTCCACATCAGCGACACAAGCGTTCAACCTGTGAGTGAGAGTAAAGTCCAGAGCTGCCAAGCCTACCTCCTCTTCTATGAAAGGCTCCTCTAATTGTGCATCACCACTCAGGAAATCCAAATAAACCAATGCTGCTTCAGTTTCACCTTCTAAGGGATCTCAAAGAATATTTCCGCCTGTACCTGTTCTGTCAGTGTCTGAAATTGTATGACAGTGTCTGAAATATTAAACAGGTCATTTTTATCAGTCTCATACCAGTACAGAAAACCTAGTTGGACAATGAATTGACAATATGGAACTGGAAGTCACAGTTTCAGTATATTAATGAAAGCTTGGGATAGATGATATGTAGATATATATTTTTTTCTTTTTTAAATCAATGTCATGTAATTAAATGTTGCAAAAACAAACTCCTCTCCTGTGTGCTGGTTTGTCAATACTTGCTATGAGTCTGCGCAGTAAGTGCTGCTAGCGCTTCCTTGTCCAAGCTGTCACATGACTACAGTGAAGTCAGGCTCGGAATGGCCAGAAGCATCTGTACCCTGTCCCTAAATTTACTAATGGCAGTGTTATCCAGGTAGCATGGCAGGTCAGTAAACGTTTGGCTTTTTAAAGAGCATCGAGTAAAGTCACAATAGCGGAATGTTTCAGTTTCTGTTTTTTGCTAGCAAAGGATAAACACGAACTGAGCGCAGTTAAAGCTAACGGTCTGGCCTAGCCTCAAGCTTTTCCGTTTGCGGACAATTACCACTGTTATTTGTTTAGCTAAACGAATCTAATATAAGTCGTCAGTAACATAACGAACTGATCATAATTTTGGACATGCTTTTATTGCCTTTATCCACCAGGCCCACTTGATTAACTTGGCTAAACGTGAGTCAGCATTTTAGCGTTGAACTTGGCGTACAAGTTAAAGAGTCACCGTTTAACCCACATTTCCTTGCTGTGGGGAACTATTAGTTATCGGCAAGATTAAATATTTGCGAAGTTAGATAGTTAAATATTGAGAGGCAGTCGCCTAACTTAAGGACTATGTTAGAAGTAATTTTAGCGAACGTTATAGTTATTTTTCTCTTCGTTACTTTAGTCAGATTAAAAGAAAAACGCACTGGAGCATGTTTTTACATGTCGTTATACTTATATAGGTATTAAATTCTATTTGACTAACTATTCATCAGTAATTTCCTTGAGGGAGAATTTTATTCACAATCAAGTGTTTCGCTAAGTAGCTGGTTGGATGTCTTGTACCACTTCTGCTGCCCATAACAGCAGTTTAAGTTCCTGAACCTTTACATAACTTTACATAATACTAAAGCTCCCCTTGCAATACTCAACATTGGGGTTTCTCACTTTTTTTCCAACTGCATATTACGTTTAACATTGTCAGTCTGTTTTATCCAGTAAAATAAAGTTATTTCACTTCGCTTATTTTTTTTTCCCCACAAAATGAGATTGTTACTCATATAAACACTGTCACTAAAATGTGCAATAAATGTTACCATAAGAGGGTCTGCCGTCAGTTTTTGATTGAATTGGGTCAAGTTGGTAATTACATGCAGTCTGTTTCTGTTAATATAACACTTAACTGTGATAAATCATTGAAAGCTACTTTTTTTGCTGTCTATATAGACAGAAGCTGGCACTTAGTTATTAGATTTGTATTCCGGAATCTCCCTGTTTTATAAGAAAACTGATAAAGACTCATTTGGACTGAATGATCTGTGCAGTCCCAAATGGTCATTTTTGTGCAACACTCTCAAGCTGTGAGCAACCATTTAGACATTTAGAAAAAAATTAAATACAGTCACAAGGCAGCCACTGATTTTTTTTATTATTTTTTTTTAAATGCATTAGTTTATTTTTGATTGCAAGGAAGTTGCTGTCCTATTTTACTTGAGTGACTGGGCCGTTAGTTTGCTCTGAATCAGGATTTAGCTTTGCTGAGCTAAGTGTGTCCATTGTTTTTTCAGTCTTGCTGATTTATACATTCATGATTTATAAATTTGCTCGGCTAACATTATCTCGGTCATACATGAGATGAACCCTCTTGTTCGTAATATTCCCAGTATTTTAATTAATTAAGTAAAATATAAATATTTGGTGTCCCTGTATTGATATGCTATTGCCACACAAAATATTGTGATACTATGCATTATTCTTTTTCTTTTCTTTTTTCACCAAAAAAAATGTGCCTTGCAGCTGTCTGTGGTTGCCTAATGATACACTGAAGGCTTTGCTAAAGACACCTTTAGTGCAATCAATGATTAGTTGTATTGTATTCTGCTCATTTTTTAGTTATTTAATCCATAGAATGTCTGCAAACTCATACATTCAAAGTCATGTTGACAGCTTACAATTGGTCTAAAATCTGGAACGGTTTATGTCGTCATAGATGAGTTACAGTACCAACATCGGAGAACCAGAAACCCATGAATTTCTGTTATTTCAACTTAGTGTCTTTTATTTATTTATTTTTACAAATTAATTAAAATGGATGCAAAATCTAGACGAAAGAAGAAAATAATTATAGTTACTTCTGCATGATTTGGCAGATTTTTTTTTTCCAACTCAAAGAGATTTGTGTCTTGAGCTGGGAATCTTTCACTTGTTAGGCAAATGTGTAAACTGCTTCACTCTGTAGCCACTATAATATAATACACATTGATAAACCTAGAGAAATGTTTCTTGTGTAATCATGACATTTTTGTTAACTCCATATGGCTCTCTTTTTCGCACAGGCTGAGCTTGTAAGAACTATGGCGCTCCAAGCTCCTCGCACATCGGTGTTCACCTTCCAGTCTGCAGTGCACAGCGCCCACGTTCTGCAGTGTCTGAATGAGCAGAGACAGCAGGACGTCCTGTGTGATGTGACGGTGGTGGTGGAAGACAGGAGTTTCCGTGCTCATTGCTCTGTCTTGGCTTCTTGCAGTGAATACTTTCACAGCAGGGTCACCAGTGTCACCAGCCAGAATCCCATCATCACCTTGCCACATGAGGTTGGTGCCTTGGGGTTCAGCCAATTTATATAGGGAAAAAACTAATATGGGTGATACTGTTGAAAGTACATGGTGGTAATGTTATACAGGCACCATTATTTTATCCCTATTATCCATGAAAAGTGTATGCATAGTTAGATTTGTTGTCTATCCACTAGCTTCTATTACTTGGTCCATTTTGTGTCATAATGTGAGTGAAAAACAGTTTATATGCAGTGTTTGGAAAATTCAACTTAAAAAGGTCAATACAGGTACATAAGAGACCTGTTGAAACTGAATTTTTGAGCTGCCTGAGTTTCATTGTGTTTTATTATGTTTCAACAATTTATGTCTTTCCCCTGCAGGTGACCGTAGAGGGGTTTGAACCTTTGCTTCAATTTGCCTACACATCAAAGCTCCTTTTTACCAAAGAAAACATTGATGCTATTCACAGCAGTGCTGAGGTTTTAGGATTTCACAACTTGGAGTCGACATGCTTTGATTTTCTCATCCCAAAGTTTTGTGAAAGCAAAAAATCCTCACAGGAGGTCAAGCAAAAAGTCTGTTGCCAGAGCCGGGATCCTAGTGCAAGTTTTGGCTCTCGTGCAGAGAGTAGCCAACCAGAATCATGTGAGTCACACAGCTCAGTGCCTTCAGGAGGTGATGAACAAATAGACTTCCCGTCGCAGTGTCCACAGAGTGCACAAGGTCAGACAAACAGCAGGGAGGAACACTTCTGTTTGGAGAACTGTGGACCACAAATGGCCCCCTTATCTCTGGAGTTAACAGGAAATGGCATGTGCCCCATGTTGTCTCTGCCTTGCCCAAACTCTGACAAAGCAGATCATCCGTCTCAGTTTTGTGAAAAAGACATTTTAGAGATGGGGGGCGTGTGCAGTCAAAGTGAGATGAGTTTGGCAGACTGCGGCTTATCTTGTGAGCTGTCAGCCTCGGGGGATGTGAATCCACCAGAACTCATTGATCCACCAGGCAGAGAAATTAAACAAACTGTTGAGACACTTGGTGCAGAAACCAATTGCATCCCTAGCTCATGTCCACTCGAGACTTCAGGGGCAGAAGATTGCAGTACTTTAATAAAACAGAGTGAGGCTCACCTTGAACAGGGAATGACAGGTGATCTTTCAAACTCTGCACTGACTACTCTAAGCCATGAAGAAGGATATGGCGACAGAAGTCGCGTGGAGAGGGAGGTGGCTGAACATCTGGCAAAAGGATTCTGGTCCGACCTCTGCCCGTCTCAGGCTCAGCCACTTCCTGTGGATCCAGTGGAACAAAATAATCTAGCAAAAGCATCTGACTTTCACTGGCTTAAGCAGCTGGACCTGAGTGCCAGTGTAGGAGACTGTCCCTTTCTCAGGGACCTTGGAACAGGTGATGATGCAGCTACACACACTGACAGCTTGTCTCAGGCAGAGAAGAGCCCTTGTATGTCCTCCTCAATAAACTCTGCTGATGACTCAGACCTGGACACAGATGGCGATACTGAGGCCAACAACAAAAGAGCAGAAGAGGTTGTTATTATATATGTGTCTGATGTTTGATTATTGGTAATGGAAGATAGAAAATCAAATTAATCTAAATTGTTTAACTCTAATCTTCAGGTTCAGCTTCCATTCCCAGTGCAGCAAATCTCAGTGCTGAGCCGGAGTGAATTTCAGCAGCTTCTGAAAAAACATTCATTGACCCAGGAGCAGCTGGACTTCGTCCATGACGTCCGTAGACGAAGTAAAAACCGTGTGGCTGCACAGCGGTGCCGGAAGAGAAAACTGGACAGCATATACCAGCTAGAATGTGAAATCAAAGGATTAGTGAGTTGACTCTAACATGCCTGATTTTCCAAACATACTCTTAAACATGCTATAATGTAATTTCATAAACTAGTAATATTTTTTTTAACTTGACATGATGACCACTGTGAACTGCAGCTTTGTGGATAACACTTCTTTCTGGCGCATCCTTACCACCTTTTTCTATCCCTTATCCACACTCTGGTCGCAGGGGCAGTAGTCTAAGCAGAGCAGTCTAGTCTTCCCTCTCCCTACCATTGCTTTCCTGCTTGTCCAGGGAAACACTGAGTTGTTCCCAGGCCAGCTGAGAGAAATAATCTCACCATTGGGCACTGGGGGTGCCTCCTCCTGGTATCACATGTCCAAATCACCTCACCTAGGAGGCATCCTAGTCAGGTGCCACCTCAACTGTTCCTTTCAATGTGGAGAAGCAACAGCTCTACTCTTGTAGAGCTGTCCAAGCTCCTCATCCTGTCTATATGGGACAGCGCAGTCAGCTTTTAAAGAAAACTCATTTCACAGAGTGTATCCATTATCTTCATTCTTTCAGCCACTAACCAGAGCTCGTAACCATAGTTTAGGGTAAGAATGTAATTTGTCTGGTAAATTGACAGCTTGGGTTTTCTGCACAGCTTTCTCTTCACCACAACATATCAGTAAAGTGTCTGCATCACTGTGGACGCAACCCCTATCTGGTTACCCAGTCTCAGTCTCCAGTATTCTCTGAGCTGTGAACAAAACCCAAGATACTCCTCCAATTGGGGCAGCGGTTCCTCCCAGACTCGGAGTGGGGACTCCACCCTTTTCTGGTTGAGAATCATGATCTTGGATTTGGAGGTGTTGATTCTCATTTCTGCCGCTTCACACTTGGTCACAAATCGCTGCAGTGCAAGCTGGAGGTCACTACTTGATGAAGGTAACACAACCACATCATTCGCAAAATGCTACCCTGAAATGCTGAGACCTACTTGGCTACGCCCAAATGATGTGTCCAAAAAACTGAACAGAATCTGTGACAAATCTGTGTCCAGCGGAGATCATCAGCCATCTGAATGAATCCGATTTTCTGCCAGTAATGCAAACAAAGCTCTCGCTGTGGTTGCACAGGGTCCGAATGGCTCATAACAACAACATAACAACAACCAGATACCCCATACTTCCCACCTTCCCACCACCTCAGTCCTCAGTGGAGGTCAGCAGTATCCCACCCCTATTGTATCTAATGTGAGTAGAGCCCCATTAACCCCTCCTGAGTCGTCAGACCAAAAGTCTCATTTCATGGTCACATCAAACCCCTCCCACACGTTTTTTGCTTCAGCTACTGCAAGAGCTGCAGTCCACTGCTGTTACCTGTCAGCTGCATCTAGAGTTCCATAGGTCACTATCTGGTTCTTGGTTTAACACCACAACAGCAGTGCCACCTCTAGAATTTTGCTCAGGAAAGCAACCTTCTTATCCAATGAAGAAAGCCCTCAACTTTTTGGTAGTAAACCAGGGGGATACAAGCATACCTACCTCAGGCTGCCACCTCTTAGGACAGCTCCAGAGTCAAGCCCTCCTCCAGGAAACTAGTTCCAGAGCCTGAGCTATGTGTTGAGCCAAGCCGGCTATATTTAGACTGTATCTCAACAGCTTGTGCACCAGCTTAGGCCCCTTCCCCACCAGAGAAGCAACATTATGTGTACCAAAAGCTAGCTTTGGAAGCTGGGGATAGGACTGCCAGAACCTTCGCCCCAATCTGAATGGCACTGAACCCTGTCCTCAAGTGCAGCAACCAGGCACTCACCCTCTAGCTTCAAGGTTGTACCCAGGTAATCCTGTCCCGGGCAGGATAACTGGAACCTTGATTTCTTCATCATCATAGGAGTTCTTGTCCACTTTATATAACATAAATGGCTGTAAGTAGGGTGGTAAAAGTAACTGAATGTATCCTGTTTTATTGAAATAACTTTAATAATGAGTGGTAGAGATAGGTTTATAAATTGAACTGACTGGACTAGTATATTAAAATACTATATTATATATTAAAATACTATAGAGAGAATATGAGAAATGTTGGTTAAATGTTTGCTACCAGCTCCACTGATTGATATCTTTTTATGTATTTTATTAAGTGCTAATTAGCTAGCCTCAGCTCATGTTGATTATGTCATTCCTTGGAACTCCAGCTGCAGCTAGCAGTGGTACACCTTGCTCTCTTCATAAGAACTTGCTGCAGGTTTCTCAGCTTTGCAGTATGTATCCCAGAGAGCAGAAAATGCTAGCTAGCCTGCAGGTAGGGAAACAAGAGGTGGTACTCGTTAGTAGTAACTGGGCTTTCAAAAAAAATTGTACAGTTAAATTGTAGATGAAATGAACCAAATGCATTATTAAAAGGTCAAAAATGAGTGAGCTTTACTGTTATCCTCCCCACAGAAAAGTGAGAAACAGCGGCTGCTCCAGGAGCAAACAGAACTGAAGCAAAACCTTGAGGACATGCAGCAGAGCCTTTGTGGCCTGTGTAAAAGTGTTGAATCTTGCTCTGATCAGGACCAGTTACAGATTCTTTCCAGATTCGCCTCGCAAGATATTCCCATCCCTTCTCCCAACATTGTTCCAGCAATTGAATTGGTAAGTTCAGAGTGTGAGCAGAGCGGGCAAACTGTACAAACAGTTCAAGTCGCTGAGCTGCAGGCCGGCACAGAGGACACGGGCTGCCCTGTTCCTACATCTCTGCTCAGTGCCTGTCTGGATATGAACAGCAGCTTATAGTAACTGGACTTAAACTACACGGTCACTTGTAATCATGCAGGCCCACAGGTCAAAGGGTGAAACTTGGTTCTATATTGTAATCCTCTTTTGGGATAGACATGCTTTCCTGTGTGTTTCACTAAATAATTGTCTGCCTGGTAGAGGCAACTATCATGTCAGGCGTTTTCTTTGCTGTACTTCTAGTCTTCATTTTACTGTAGCAAAAAAATTAACCAGTATTCATTGTTTTAAAGGTGCAGGCAATTTTCAGGTAGTTCCTAAAAGTTTCCATTTGAAAATTAGGAGGATAAAAGTAGGTTTGCTTTTCTCAGGGAAGCTCATAACCTGACTGTATTTTGAATCATGCTGCGCACCCAAACAGGTATGAAAAAGATGTTTTATTTTACGCTAATTAGTCTGTTGTTTTAATCTTAACACATACTGTATTAATATTTACAACTATGCTATTTCTTTGATTAAATAGGCATAGAACTAATTGAGTCTTTTCCAGTAGACTAACAAATTTACACAGCTAACCTAACTTTTCAACAGCATTATTTGAATACTAATGTATTTTAAACTCTATTAGGTCTAAAAGTGTTACAAGGGAACATAAGAAGTTATTTCATTTTATGCAAAATGTGCCTTATGCAATTGTGTAATATGGATTCAAAAAGATGAGGGCATCTTTGTATATGCTTGGTTCAAGCACTATTGCACATTAACCCAGAGCTAATATTGATGGCATTGTGTTACATGTTATTTTGTCTGCATGTTTAGTATTTTTATTAAATGCTTTTATGGATTACAAATTTAAATAAACAACACTTTGTTATCATTCATTGTTTTATTTCAACTTCCAATCTTTGATTGTGTGCACTACCAGAGTTTGGCCAGTAGATGTTAGTATAACTCTACCTCACCAGATGAGACAGACGTGACTAGAGTAACATAAGAGGCTCAGACTAGACCTTCAGGGAGGGTAACTGCACGCTGAACTCTAAATAAGGGAAGGCAAGGAGTTTGTGCTAATCCACCTGACAGAAAAATGTGCAATTTCCTGTTATCTCATCATGTATTAAACAAAACTTATTTAATTGAGTAAATGAAAACCCAGTAACAAACCCGGGTTTAAAAAACAAACAAACAAAAAATCTTGTGATTTATCTCTGGCTCTTACTAAAATCTTTTGGCCATGCCAACAAATTAACCTTCAAAGTTAAAAAACTTTAACCAACAAAATCAACAATACAAGTTCATGTCTTCATAAGTTCATGTCTATAAACACAATATGTAACATAGTTGTCTAGAGACTTAGTACTTCTGCAGTGGCTTTGCAAAGAATAATTCAGCAGGCTCTAAAAAAGGTTGAAATTAAAGACAGAGTCAGATGGAGGCTGATGAATGACCTTAGCACTTTGAAGAGCAAAGGTACCCTGGAAATCTGCAGACAGGAAATTTAAAAAAGTACGGCATATCTGACAACTATCCCTGTAATCCCTGCAGTTTAAACAACTAAGATTTCAGGGTTATTCTGTAGATGCAGGAAAGATAGCTTTCCTCAAAAAGCACCCGACCAGTCATTTGAGTTTGTAAAGTTTTTGCCTATTGTATAGAAGTGGTAGTTCTACACAATAAAAACCTGTAGCCCCTATAAAAATGAAAAGCAATCTGTCGTCTCCTTCACATAGACAGATGTTATTTAAAAAAAAAAAATCCTAACTGCATTTTAGCCATCAACATGTCTGTTGTCTGTAAATGGCACACACCTAAGTGTCCACATGTTTAGGGCAACATTTAGTCCTTTTGCAGGTATCGACGATGCAGACAACAATCTTTAAAATACATCCCAAATACACAATAAACATTAGGTTTGGATGTTCTGAGGTTGACGCTAAGATGACACATCAGTCTGCTAGTCAGTGACTCCTCACTTATAACTGTTGTCAAACAATCTTTATGTAATACTTTATAATAATCAGCCATTTGCCAAAGCTCACAAATTCAACAATGATACAGCAAGAATATTCCAAACAAGGAATATTAATTCCTCTCTCACTCTTGTAAACATTTAGTTAAAATTTATTGCAGTGGCACAACCTCCTCAAGGATTCATCTGTGAGCAGTAACATTTAGCAATCAGTAGCAATGACTAGTAATTCATTTTACTGTTCGTGTTCCAGGCTGCCAAAAGAAAATTGGGTTGTGCATTTGTTAAGGTTTAAATTTTAGGGGCTTAACAAAGCAACAATCTGATCCGACACTGGTCTGAGTGCTCCTCTTTCATTGCAGACTGGAGAGGATCATAGATCAAACAAACCAGTACAGAACAGAAACACCACTTTAAGAAAGTCTTGTAGAGTTGAAGAAGCAATTTTGTCAAGATGTTTTTGTCTTCTGATGTGAATTATTATTTTGTGTCCTTTGAAATAACTACGGTAGCACTTGGGGACAATGAAAGAAAAAGCAATCTCATTTTGTTTTCCTCAGAACAGAATCCTCAAGGTTAAAGTGGTAATTACACCAGCAGCCATGGAGCAACTCATAAAACTGGAACCTGTTTTTGAAAAGTAACCTCACACCCTGACAAAGAGATGTCACTCCGAGCACAACAACTGGTTTTCCATCTAAAAAGCAAAATGATTAGATCATTATAATACTACAGACATCAGATTTGATCTCTGTCCGCTGGAACGATGCATCTGTACCAAATCTTCAATTTGATGCGTGTCAGCGTGAATATCACCCTCAAAAAAAGCACTGCAAGCACCTATTTACAAATTTCCATCTTAAAACTCAGTTCCACAGTGTTTGTCTTTTATATACGGTTCAGAATTTACAGCATTGTAGAGCAAGACTAAGATGATCCCTCTTTTGCAAGCTACACAGGACGAAAGACTTGATTTGAGGAGGAAGCAGCTGCGAGGCATGGCAAGGTCAGAGGCCCATAATCCGCGGCCTCATTCATGCGAGATTAAAAACCTGCTCTGAGTTCTGATTAAGAACGCAGGGTTAGAAGATTAAAGACCAGCAAACAAAATGAAAGCAGTTAAAGCCCAATCCTGGAATTCATCAGAATACCAAAACCTTAAACTGTCATAATGTGAGATTAATGCAAAGCCCTCTTGACCTCAGTATCCGTCTTGATACATATTCTGTGTCATAGCCTATATTTCCATTTTTTGTCCCTAAAATCTGCATTCAGACTTTTCTTTAGTGTTGTTTGTTGTTTTTCTTCCCCTTCTCATTTTCTTTGTTCTTATTTGGGTCATTTATTTTTTAAATCAAAGTGACAGCTTGAATTGGCTTAGCTTATTGTCGATGTAATCATAAATCCTTTATTCTTTATTGTCACTCAATACATGATTATATTTCCATAAAGTGTTTATGTCCCTTTTATGCAATGATTCAAGTCATTATCCTCTTGACGATGGAGTCGTACTACACTCGGGGAGCAAGGATTAGGAAATAGGAGGGAAAGGGGGAAAAAAACAAGATTAGAAATTAAAGCATCTGGAAGTTAGCTTGCTCACAACATTGCTAAAGGAGAACATATATGCTAATAACAATGACATTGCTCAGTGTAGGACTGCAGAGAGTTTCTTTTTATGGCACAGATGCAAATAATATGTAGAAGGTAGCAGGCACCAATATTTTAAGCTCGAATGCATGATTATGGTTGCAAATATGACACTTCTTATCCATTCTCCTTGTGAGATAAACACAACAAAGCGCTGAAGAAAAGTTGACAATTCAATTTTGGAATAGCACACCAACATGAACCAAGATCCTTATTAGGATATCGGTCTGAAACCCAGTAAATAGCAGTTAATATCCTGAAATGCCAATTAGCATCTCCAATGGTGTTTCCAAAATAGAAACACTGTGAATGCAAAACTAATGAGAGAAGATCTATATACCAATATTCTCTAGTTTAAACCCTGGAGAAAGACACAATACTTGTATAATTAATCCCTGCATAAGGTCTGTGACCTTCTTGCAGCACCACATAAGTTTCATAACCTACTGTCTCCTAAGTGATTACATGCTGAAGTGCTGAACTTCATTTTGGGGGTAGTGCAGAGAAAGGGGCTGTATCTCATTGACAGGATTATATGAATGAGGACCATAATACTGTAATCTCACAGAGAAATGAGAGGAACAAGGGGACATGCTGGCCCCAGCAAGGCAGCAACCTTCAGATCAACAGCTGGTTGTACAGTGACAGATTACACTCACACTTGTTTCTCATCCTAACAATCCTCCCTGTGTTGAATTTAGAACACTATAAGCACAAGAAAGGGTATTTCAGGACAAAATATCACCATACTGTACCAGAGTATATTATTTTACTAGTCATGGGGAAATTGTTAGAATTTATCAGTGTCAAAAGACAAGCAGGAAAGCAAAGAAATGATGCCTTCGATTCTGCCAAGTACACTGGTTTTTAATTAACACCACTGTTGTGAGAGATTCGGCAGAGAATCTTTTTTTTTTTCTGCACAGCAAAGCTGTGCAGAAAAAGTCCACAAAGCTTTAAAGGAACCCATTAACCTTTGAACAAAGACAAACAGAGTAGGTTTTTCACCCATTTCAGATCTTTTAACAATATAAAACACATTTCTAAGGTGTATTTTAAGTAACGGTAAAAAAGTACACCTATCTCAATGACAGAATTAACATTTATATTATTTTTCATGTTAAATTTTCTCTTTCAGTCATCAAAAACATTCTGAACAGAGAGTTCATCATCACTGCAAAGAAGAAAAAGCTCAGCGCCGACCCACGATATAATCCCCTCCCCACCTTAAACACATCTGTCCCTCCAAATGCACACCTCACCCTGTCCTCTCGCTTCGCACCCCATCATATCCTTTCTCTAGAGCCACAAAGACACAGTGCAACCCCTTCTGACTGTCTCTATGCTCTTCCATCAACACTCCCAAAGCAAATATCATATCTGTAGGACTATATTTATATTTGGGAAAAGCTGAAAAAAATACATTGATAGGCAACTGTTTTTTGTTTTGTTTTCCAAAAGTCTTTTTGGATGACAGAGGAATGTATTCTTTAATCCTGCCTACCCTGTACTCGACTTTACTCTGACATAAATATGATAATAACAAGATATACCCATGTTAGCATTGAAAACATTCAGCTGTTGAAACAACTCTTTATAGCTTCATGACAAAAATTACAAGCTGTGTTCTTTACGCAAACATACCACCGTGTAAATACTATACATTTAAATTGTGGCCACGTGCAGTTAATGTCTAACTTTTTAGATATTAAAAACTTTTCTTCAGCGCATACAAAAAACTATAAACATACAAGCAGACTAGCAAATTTGTAATATTTAATATTTGATTCTTTATGAATATTTAGGTTAAGTATTCAATATTTAGGTACCTAAGGTACAATAAAGTACATCACTAATGTTTAGGAATGCCAGAAACTGCAATCATCTGTTGGGTAACTGTTGTGGCACTCGATAGACATTGTAAACAGTCCAAGTCTAAACTGAGCTAATGAGTAATTTAACAGTCTTTAGTCATAGCTACACTTATTCCTGTTCCATCATCTGAAATGTGACATTAATCCTGCATGTATAGACAAAACAAGCAGGATACAGTATCAGACTTTCACCCAAAATATTTTCCTTACATTTGCAGGATTTTCAAACATGTGTGACAAGGCCCGGCCAATTTTAAACCAGGAATGCTTAATGTGGATCTTTATAATGATGAGGATTTTATTTTAAAAGCTATGCCTTATTGAGGGGAAACAGGTAGGCAAAGAGAAAGGTGAATCAGGGATGAATGGACTGTAGGATGTGTCATCAAACCCATTTTTTTCTTGAATGCTGAGGTTACATCTCTATCCTTTACATTTTATTTGTAATCCATTTGAACTAATGGTTTTAGATGCACAATTTAATACACGACTTTATATCCATGGTGAATGTGGGAGAAGTGACTTGGAAATACAGAATAGTTTGTTAGTCTGTACTAAAAATACCAACAGCTTATATGTGTGCCAAGGGTTTAACTTTTGTAAATATAGTTGTGTGTGTGTTTGTGTGTAATGCAGTGGCTTTTTTTTTTTAATAGTGCAGTTCAAACCCAAAAGCCAAAAAACCCAAAGTCAGTAATCACATCACCTCTTTTCTTGGATAACGTGAGTAAATGTGTCTCATGAAAGCCGTTTCTCAGAAAAGACAGACTGAAAAACATCACAACTGAATGTGAGAAAGGGAGACGGCTGCAATATAAAAGTCATATTAGAGTTACAAGGCTTTAGTTTTCTAAATGCGACCTCAAGTGCGTGTAAGTTGAGACCCGATCCAGTGAAGGCCCAGGATCAAAAGCAAAACAATCAAAAAGTTAAAGGTTAAAGGATGTAATGTTCTCACATATTTTTAGTCATTTTGAAACAGCTCCAACATGACAAAACGTATCCATGCATTTCATAAACTTCATATGATACAAAAAAAGTACAGACATTAAGCAACTTGATGAATAAGATGTTGAGGGAGTACTCACTCATAAACTGTCAAATAAATCAACAAGTTTGTAAATGTGTCAAAGTTCCCGTGTGCTGTAAATATGAAAATGACAAACGTGTCATAAGAGAATCAGTCATTACTGGAAAGATACCACTTACCATCACTTACCCATAACACCATGAAAATGACATTTCTCTCACACGGAGTAATGTTTAAAAAAAACAAACAAAGAGCAAGGCCAAGATGGTCAAGAGTCACGATGTCAGAAGTCAACAACAATCTGTCATCATCATAAAAAGGGTTTCTAACCTATGCTTCCAATCGAGACTAAAATGTTTGTGTGCTCTACATAAAAACTACTGAAAACACAAAACTTTGCCTTAAAAACTTGTTTTGATTGTAACAATGCAGTTCGACACATTCAGACTTCAGTTTTTATTGGCCTAGTGATTGCTGTAGTCCTGGAACGACAACACAAGCGTGTAGTATGGTCATAACAGTCTTTGTTAATACTTGTTGTGCCATTCGCACTGGCCGACGCTCACCTCCTCGATGTCCAAGTTTTTTCTGGATTTGTAAATAAACTCTCCAATTGCTACAAAAACTGAGAGGACTAGTCCAGCTGCCAATACAATAAAGATTCCCCCTATGTTCTCCACGCCCAGGGCACTAGCCTCTTTGCTATCCTCTTCTGGGCAGCCATTCCCTCTCCACCACTTCTCCTTCATCATGTGGAGCTTCCCTTCTTCTTGAAGCTGAAGGATTGCAATGGTGACCTTATCTCGGTAAGGGGAGCCTATAGCAGGAATTACAGTAACGTAATGTTTAGGTTTCTGAGAAGGAGCATGGTAATTAATGATTATTGCTGAAATTATTATATAGTGATCACTCTTACCAATTGGGGTTCCAACACCATAGCCCTTTGAGTCTATCAAGCCTCCGATCTGTGTGAGGTTGCAGTTGCGCTGGCTGATGTACTCGATGCTGGTCGACTCCATCAAGAGGGCATAATCTGTAGTGAGGACTCTTTGAATCCCTTCACGGTTGTTTTTCACTAATGCTGTGTTTTTCCTGCTGCTCATGAAAGCCCACATTTTCTCATAAGTGGAGATTTTCGATTTCTGTTGAATCAAAATCAACATTTGTGGATTATTAAAACCACGGTCAAATCTACAAGCACCAAAACGGCATTTTAGACAAAAGAAAGCATCTTTACACCTTTCCACACCTTTGGCGCCTGCTTCTAATATTTAAAATGAAACCATATTTGCAGGGTATCTGTTGACTGGTGCCATCTCCTGCTGTGCATCAGAGCACAAATCTCTTCAAGTTCATTCAATTTTCACCATAGATTTAGATAAACTGCTGAGTCTGCTGCAGGCAAAATAATAAATCCTTCAAATCTTTATGGAACAGTCTCCCACAGGTTCTTGTTAAACTGATACATGGGGAAATTTCCAAGACACTAACCTTTAACCCTCCTCTTTTTCCAAACCAAATCAATTTTATGCCAGCCAGTCAGGCTGCACATGACTGAAGACTGTTGGCTCAAGGGTAAAACTTGCCAGGCTAATTAAAATTAAAAGCAGTGTTCTTATTTCCATTCTTCCCCTACAATTGTCCTGTAAAACAAAAAGACGGTTACCTTAAAAAAGGTCATGGTGGAGCCATCTCTTACGGCACCGTACTCTATTTTGGTTTGCTTGGCCAAATCATCTGCGGAGTCAATTGGCGAGTCCATTCTTTCCACTGTGAGGAAGGCGGCCAAGTTGGCAGTATATGAAGAGATAATGATCAGGGTAAAGAACCACCATATCCCACCAACTATCCTTGTAGAGAGAGCCTTAGGCATCAGTTCAGATCCTATCAGATAAGATTACAAATCACATTATTGATTCATAATTAAATTGAATACTTACTTACTTGAAATTAAATGAATACTTAAAAGGAATGATTAAATGTGCTTTACCAAAAGAAAACTTCTGCCTGCATAAAAAGATAATAAAGGGATACCTTGCTGCATAAGTGCGCCGACTCCAAACCAGACACTGTTTATTAGAGTGAAATTGTTTTCAACCACATCCGAGTCTGGGTTGCAGGGGTGAGGGTTGTACCACTCATAAGGAGTAAACCTAAAGGTTATGAATGAAAAAAATCATCAGTTAAAATTAATAAGTGACTATTGGCCTGTTACAGACTGAAAGTCAAAATGTTAAACTGAAATTTTGCCTTTACATAAACAGTGTTGCTTAAAAGTAAAAGCAACTATAATAAGTTCACATCAAATAGCACTTTTTTTTTCTTTACCTGGCAATAACAAAAAGCACACAGCTGACACCAAGGCATGCCAACAACACGTACATCCAGATATCAGGAGAGAGTGGGTTAAGGAAGGAGAAGACTCCTGGATTTGTGCCGTTGGGTTTGTGGTAGAGGATGCTGATTCCCAGCGTCATGAATGGCTTCGAGAAATCAATAACTTTTTCCCTGACATATGTGATAGTGAGAGGGGCCACAGCAAGGTCGGCCACCTGGTAAAGAGCAAAAATCACCGTCAGCTGCAGACACTGTGACGCTTTGAACGTCTTCTCTCTTACATTAAGACTGACTGATCAGTACTCACATGATCAATGAGTTCCCGCACCATGCCATTCCACTCCCCTTTGTCATTCTGAGCTCCATATTTGCCATCTGACACCAACTTTACTTCGTAAGAGAAGCCCAAAATGTTAGAGAGCTCTTTGAGCAGGTCGAGACAGTAACCCTCAAAGCGGTCATTTCCATAAAGCGGCTTGTCAGATTTCTTATACATGACATAAGGATTTTCCTGGTGAACGACAGAAAGGTTTCAGTGGATTATATAATACAAATACATTTGAAATCAAATGCTCACTAGCAATGATTTTATGTCTGTTCATACCAGAATAGTAGTGACAACAAGGGTCCTATTGGCCATTGAGTCTGTTACATTTGTGGATGAATCCTTGTTAATTTCTGATAAATTAAGGCCTGTTTGGGAGTTCCACACACCAATCTGTAACAAATAAAATATCCAAATAACCACAGTGGCTGGACTTTAAATAGTTGCTACCTGGGTAACCTTCACACAATTGAGGAAAATAAGGTAAAGACAGGAAAAGAAAGCAGTAACAAGTAGAAAAGTTAATGTGAAAAACACAGACATAGGGGGGAAAAAAAGGAAAGGCTCACAAAATGTTATAAACTTGAAATGCCAGTAGAGAAATGTAACCATTTCTAAGAACCACCAGTACCTGAACCTTTTTATTTTTTAATGAAAAGGGGTAACGTCACAAAGGTATAGTAAATTAGTAGGTGTCAATATTCCTTTAGTGTGCCGTGGCAGCTAAAGTACAGACCTTTTTCCACACTTTATTCAAGCGGTTGTTGCCTGTGTTTGTCTTGCAAAAATAATAAAGAGAAAGCATTTTAATCACAGATCACAGAAGGGGGAATAATTCTTCTGTTAGCAGTTTTTACACCCAACTGTGTTAACCGAGGTTTAAAGTCTTTGCAGTGATGATAGCATGAACAGGTAACAGCTTCTTAATGACCTGTCAAAACCGAGAGTAGCATTGTCACTGTGATTAAAGGAACATGCACACACTTGCAAGCTTGAAGAGACAACTACAAGTTATTTTGAGAGAGCAGTGTGTCAAAACAGTTCAAAAAGTTACTTTTTAAATGCATAATTAGGACACCACATTTCAAGATTTATGTAGTCTTAATTAAATTGGTCTATATGTTGGTTTAAAGACAAGTCATCTTTTTGCATATTTGTGGGAAAATGCAGTTAACAGCTCTGTCTATGCTCATTAATGATACTCAGCTCTGCTTTAATGTGTATTAACAGAATAACAGTAACATGTATTAACGGTATAAACATGGGTTAGACACTTCACCTTCTCCAAGCCGTCCTCCTTCAGGCTGATGACATCTAAATCAAATTCTTTCCTCAGACCGTCCGTCTTGTTTATTATTATTTGTCCTGTCAAGCCGTTCCACTGTGCCTGTTTCAGAAAACACAAGCAAAGACCCCCTCAGGTTTGTTTCCTGTTTTTTTTTCTTCCTTTTTTACATCATATCAATGCAAAACAAAGCAGGAGCCTGGAAAAAATGAAAACAGCTTTTAAACATGAATAATTGATGAGTACTTCATTAAGCAAAGAAGACTGACTTGGCTCACAATGGATGTTTTTGCATTGGCTAGATTCTCAATGGAAATATTAAATGTCTCCGAGTCTGTAACACAGGGGATGGTGATGTAAATGGAGCAGGCAGGCATGCCCTCTGTCTGTGAAGAGAGCAGCGGGTGGGCAGCAGCGCTCAGATATATTTGAAATCAGTTGATAATGAAGTTAGCTCAGTTGAATTACAGTCAGGTTAAATCTGTTACAGAGAGCACAGAGAAAGTAGCTTTATATCTGCACTGACAGAGAATGAAGTCAATTTCTTTATGGAAAGATGCAACAACGAAACATCAATAGACCTTTTCAGTACATTCCTATGACGTCTATGTGTGTGAATGTGTGTGCGAATGGGTGGATGACTGGATGACTGGATATGTAAAGCGCTTTGGGGTTCTTAGGGACTAGTAAAGCGCTATATAAATACAGGCCATTTACCATTTTTACCATGACATTCTAACTGTAAAGCCGGAAAAAATGATAATTATTGTCAGTTGACCCCCAAATAAAATGCTTGTACAGTACTGTGCAAAAGTCTTGTCTCTGATTTCTTTATATTTGCTAGGAAAATGGGAAACAGGTGCAGCACATTATTGAAATGTGTACAAACTCAGTGCCTGCACAGCTTTAACAAGCTTGAAACTCAGTGTTTTGGTTGGATCACCTTTAGTCTTCATCACAACCTGAAATCTGTTTGGCAAGCTTTTTACTTACACTAGCTTTACTTTGTAGTCTTTGGGAATAGTTCTCAAGACTTCTTGAAGCACATTCAAATGCACGGGAGTCATTATCCTTATTTTTACACACTGTGGTATCAATTGATATTTTTCACAGATTCATCTAAAGAAATAATAATTGGAAAATTATGTATACAATATCCTGTTAGGCTTAAAAGATTCACAGGTGACTTAAAAACAAACAAACATGCGAAGGTACAGTGCGTTTTGATCCAAATGTAAAACAAAGCCAGATTTCTAAATGACAACACTACATTACATTTAAATGTAAGAAAAAAAAATGTCAACTTCGGGAGAAAAAAGCATCTCAATATTACAGTTAGGTTTCAATATAACGTTGCTTTTTTTTAAAGCAATGTTGAAAGCAGCCACAAATATCAAACATGGGAAATAACATATGGTATTCAGGAGATGAACAGTGTGGTTTGTGTATTTTTAAAGAACTGGTTCAACTTAATGTTTGTTTACTCTAAGAGCAAGGAGTGACACCGAGGACATGTCGTCCAGCAAAAAATGTGTCAAAAAGTTTTTATAGCATATATATACAGATTTTAAGAAATACAGTGTCATGCTAGTATTAAACACTGCAAAGTATTCCACTAAAATCTATTCAGCTAGAAATAGCATACAGGTGAATTTAGAGATGCAAAACAACAGTGAGCCTTTGACTTTGAAGTGAAAAATATTCCATTAATTCGACTGGAACCAAAGAAAATTCATCTTGAGCCATTAGTACACGCAACGAGCAATAAACAAAACAAGATTGAGAAAAAATTTAATCCAATGTCATCATTCTGAAGCAGTATGATGAAATTGATTTTGCAGAAAGAAAGAAAGAAAAAAAAGGAGGATAGTATTCCATGTCAGGAATCACACATAAACTTAAGAGTTCATATTAAACTTGATCACGTCATGAGAAACATCAGTTTCTTTAATACATATAGAAGGTTAGAGGGTATCATTCAATGAAAATGCCCTTTGATATGTCTGCTTTCCAGTGTCGTCACTCACATCTTTGAGATCTGTTGACCCTTCAGTCCAGATTTATTCTTTTGATTAATTCTCCTTTTTAAATCCTCACCAATCAGATTTTCTCTCTCTTGACAATGTGTTTCCACGACTGCAGTTTATATGCAGTTAGGTCTATATTTTGTTGGACAATTTTTTTGTAGTTTAAACTAAAGAGACAAAAAGTAATTGAAGGGGTTTAGCAAACATATTGTATCTACTGTTTATGAAATACTGCCATTTTTATAGATAGTACTCCTATCTATAAATATATATATAGTTACATATATTTAAATATTAGGACTGTTTTTAATCCTTGAATGAAAACCCTTTGTAGTCAGTGACGATCTTAAGCCTAATCTGAATCTGAGCAGAGAATATAGCCCAATCACATCATCAATAAACACTGCTGGCCTGGTTCCACTTGCCTCTACCATATCTCCATATTTTTTCCCATCATCCTTCCTGGTACAAGTTAATCTTGGATTCATCAGTCCAGATATTTTTCTGTGAAGACTCTTTTAGATGTTTACTGGTTACACTCGTGTTCTTGAGTGTAACCATGTTTTTGAGTGTAACCAGCGGTTTGCAGCCTTTGTCTTGAAAGAACAACAGAACGGGCCTCACCTAACCTTGAAATTGGTTGTTGGTCAATTGTGCAAAGTATTTTAAGCCTCTGAAACCGTGTATGAAAATGTTTCTAATTCTGCAAAACTTTTATCAAAGCCCTCTGAATTAAAGTGGAAAATCTTGGCTCTAATCACAGTTGTTTAACTGATTTAAAATCTATGGTGGTATAGAGAGGCAAAACCACTCTTTGTCCAAGAAGTGGACCTATTTTTTATATTTGTAAGATAATGATACTGCCACCATTAAAAACCCATGACCACATGAGAGGAAACGGTGAGAAAAAACAATATTTTCTTTTTTCCACATCAATACTGTATCTAAAATCAGATCCAAGCACATTCATCTGTATGCGTTCAAAGTGCCCCTAATATTCTTGAACAGTTAGTTCTTCATAAAACTTAACTTTCCCTGTTAAATGTGTGGCACAGCACCAAGTCTTGCAGGCAGATTTGTCAGTTTACCTTTCCACCCCCACAAGAGCAGAGTGTAGGCTGAGCTACTGAACAGCACTTAGTGTCTTGCTCAAGGGCCCATCAGCTAATGCTGTTAAGTTATAGTTCTTAATTTAAAATACAGTCTGAAAGGACCATACTAATATGTTTACATATTTTCAATATAGTCTCTACATATGTTAAACTTTTCCACCATTAAACTTTTATATAGGCATGTACACATTAACTTTCTAAATGGTGTGTTTATTTGTGAATGTGTTTTTCACCATTCAAGCAGCTACTCGTTTCTTTAAGGTATCCAATTTGTCTTGTAGAAGCTTGGAAATGACCTGCTATAAATGATTCAGCTCTGCATACATCACGTCTGGTTTGATTACTGTTAGAGTTACATAATTATTGTGTGGTAATGCATCATGGACTAAATCAGAGTGCCTCTCATACGAGCGGTAACAGGAATAAGGAGAGGCATAATGGCAGGTCTATTGTAAGCTGAAGACATCATTTCCTTTGAATATTCCAAATACTCAGTTTAAGCTTTCTCCAGATAAGCACACCCCTGTCAGCTCCACCAAACACATAGTCAGTATACTACTTTGCAGTGCAGAACTTATGTTTGATAATAAGATGAAACTTATGAGCAAAATATGATAGATGTACAGTATTTGTCAACCAGCTTCCCTCAGTTCCCTGTGAGATTGTGTGTTGTGGATTTGCAAAGTGTTTCCATTAATGACTAATTTAAAAGCTAAACTTAGTACAAAAAATAAGGACATTTATGTTCAGTCGATTATTTCTTTGCTTCCTGGCAATAAATCTTATACTGCTAGAAAGTCTGTTTACAGTATTTCTCATTAAATGGTGCCACATTTGTAAGGAAAATGCATTTGTGGGTTGAGCAGCAGAGTTGAGCATGTGGGTTGCGCCCATAAAAAACTTGCCAAATCTTCTTTATCCAACCATATAGACTTTATTGCCAACACAAATTTCCTTACTTTTTCTGCTAAGTTTCTATCAATTCATTCACCCAGCCATCAAGCCTAATGCCCAGACCGTCCTTTCCCCATCCACAACCTGTATACTCCCCTCTCCTTCCCAGGTTTTCCCAGGTCAGCTGGGAAACGTAATCTCTCCAGCATGTCCTGGATCTTCCCTGCTTCTTTTTTGGTTGGATATGCCCAGAACCCCTTGCTTAGGATGCATACAATTCCTGAATCACCTCCACTCTCTCTTTTAGCTTTACTCCGAGTACTTCCCAAATGATCAAGGTCCTTAAACTACCTTCAAGGATGAGCCAGACACCCTTCAGAGGAAGCTCAGTTCTGTCACTTGTATCTCCAGTCTTATTCTTTCAATCACTTACCCAGGTTCACAACCATAGCCGAGGACCCTAGTAGCTAAGGTTTACCAGTAAATTGAAAATCTATATAGTATGGCAGTAAAATATTGGCTGGTAGTGACGTGTGTTGTATGCATAAGATGCTGTAAATGGGAGAACAGTAAAAAGAAAGCACTGGAATGGCACTTTTAAATTTAACCACTGTACTAAAACAACAATGTTCATTTTAGGATGTTTGGGCTTTTTTGTGTGTAGAAGAAAGAATATTACAGTGGCAGTCATCAGTCGACAAGAAAATTACATTTTACATCACTTTGTTTTTATGTAAAAATACTTTTCTCAAGTCTAATTACAGACAATATCTTTAAAGACCATACAGCTAAAAGTCTCATTCATTTACACTCTGCTGTCTGGGTCATTTGGCTTTGCTTGTTGCTGTCAATATTCTCTCCTCACTTACAACAAGAAGAGCTCATTGGTTAAAGAAACATCTAATTAGAGAGTGCAATAACAAGAGAGCTTATTAAAGTGAGATGAATATATCTTGACACAGATGAAAAAGTCTGCTTCCACAGCAGGCAGCGTGTTTTTTTTTCAACCTGTCAGGCTTTGCTGAGTGTTTGTCTCATTGTGTTTCTGTTTAATCTGCTGTTAGATCAACAATTCATGCAGAAATATTTTTCGTGTTCAACAGAGCAAGAAGCATGCTACATGATCCTTAGCACGAGTCTTCAGTTTTAGCATTATTATTAGCTCATGAGGAGCTGTCTCAAATCTACATTGTCTTTACCTGCTTTCATAAACATTCACACAAGGAGCAGCATTTCTCCATGGACAGCTCTAATCTTTACAAGACTACCAACATGTGATGCATGACGTCAATCACCATGTCTTGAAAAAATTATTTTCAATATAATCATCACACACTCGTTGCTCATTCACCAGATCTAATCTCCTAACTCTATTGTTTCTGCTCTTGCACAAAAGCAAGTGACACAGAGGCAGCGGGCTATGAAAAGGACAGATGAATGGATGGAGCGCCGGTGTCACACATTCATTAGGCAGACTCACATCTTTGAGCATGCTCATGAAGCGTGATCCAAAGCGCCAAGGTTTGTGTCGGTGGCACTGAAGGGAGCTCACAGTGATCTGAGAGGTGCGTTGTGAGGCAGCAGCCACCATGTAGACGGCGTCGTACATCAGAGCTGCTTCAGTCTGAAAGAGAAATGTGGCCATCATCCTCTGTTACTGGGGACTGCAAATCACATGTCATCCAGTTATCACACCCGGGCTGTCTATGTACATAAACAGTAGCATTTCATTTCTGCAAGCACACTCAAAGGTACAGCAGCAGTTTTAGAAAATTCATAAAATTTCTGTATTTTGACCCAAGTGTATGCAATGAGAGCTAGTGAAAATGTATTAAAGATCTCATGCAGTGTTACAAATAAAGCTTGAGTAGGTACATTTACATGTCTGGCTTTTTATTACATTGTTACTTGATAGTATCTGGAGACAAAGTTAACAAAATGTCTATTTCATGTGCTGATTTGAAAGTTTCTATCGATAATACAGAAAGCATTAGGTAAAACTAGGCTTACTGTCATCATCCCCTCCATCATTCCAGTCTCGGCTTTGGAGGGTGCCTGCAGTCGCTCCATGGCCCATCTCTCGACCACCGAAGCCACATGAGGATTGTCTATGTTTAGCAATCTGAACCCCGTCATGTTGACCCCGCTATAGCGGTACGGCTCCAAATCAAGGGCAAACAGGTCCTAAGGGGATTTATGTGACATGACATAATCTTCTTCTTTCAGCGGTGATCATCTGCCTCCATCTCTGCCTGTCCCCAGCATCCCTCTCTGTCACACCAACCCTCTTCATGTCCTCCATCACTACATCCATTAACCTTCTTTGTGGTCTTCCTCTTATGCCTGGCAGCTCCATCTTCTACATCCTGTGTCCAATATAGCTACTATCCCTACTCTGCACATGTCCGAAACCATCTCAGCCTTGCTTCTTCAAACTGCTCGACTTGAGCTGTCCCTCTGATGTAATCACTTGTCTTGTCCAGCCTCTTCACTCCCAATGAAAATCTTAACATCTTCAACAGTGCGTCAATGTCCAAATACATCTTAGCAGATCTCACTACCATCTTGTAAACCTTCCCTTTCACTCTTGCTGCTGTCCTTCTGTCACAGATCACTGACAAAACCTGTCTCCACCCTGCCTGCACGCTCCTCTTGATCTTCCCTGCGCACTGTCAGGAACTTTGGATGGTTGACCCAGGTGTTTCTACTCCTCCATATTTACTCCTTGCATCTTAGCTGTTAAACCTGCCTGTCTGTCAATTAAACACATTCTGTCTTCCCTCTACTGACTTTCACTCCTAATGTCAATATGAGACCAAGATATAGACGTTAACTGAAGAGAAAGGGTAAACCAACACTTGATTAAAACAGTGGAACAACATGAGTACAAGGTAATAACATGGAATTATGCCAAGGGCACCCAGCAGCCTTATTATAAAACAAACCACAGATGTGCAGGCTCATCAGCATAACTCAGTAGTGTAGCATAAAAACAGACTTTAGGCAGGCCAGCATTGTGTAGTTATGTGGCATCATAGCAAAATACCTATCTATCAAGTTTCAAGAGTCACAGTTATTATGATCAGAAAGAGGGTTTTTTGTAAAAGATTTGTCTCTTACCAGTGTGGTGAAGAAAAAGTGGTAATATTCAGTCATCATTCCCATGGACAGAATCTAAACAGGGAGAAAGTGTTTGAGAGTTTTCTGTTTAACGGTACAGTGGAGGTTTGTTCCAGCCACAATAAATAATCTTCTCTTCCGCCTAAGACCAACCAACCATACCCACAACCACAGCGAGCGGCAAATTATTTATTCCATCCATTTCCTGAATTGTCTCATATTTCTTTGGCTCACATTAACAACTATGCGAGTGAGTATATGTCACAATTTTCTCCTGTTAGTGAAGTGTCTTCAATTAATCTTCCGAGCAGCTGTTGGTTCTAAACGTGTACGTCTGGCCCAGAAATAGGCTCTGCTTGGATTTGGTAATGAACACAGGATTTCTGAAGGGGATAGAAGTGCACTAATCTTGCACGTAGTGAATATTAAACCAACAGCAATTCAGAAAAGAGATTTAGAGGCTTTTTTTTTCCATTGAAGAAAGAAAATCCACATTGGATATCTGATCAAATTTTCACTTTATGTGGCGTGTGGCTGAACCCTCAGTGGCCCACAAACTGGCAGAAGTGCATGTTATTCACCTGCTTGAGAACATCAGCTGATGTTTGGTAAGAGCAGTCAAAGATGACATAGAACTCCTTCCCTTTCTTCATTTCCTTCAGCAGGGGACGGGCATCTTTACTTCCTGTGGGCAGCTGCCGGATCTTTATTTTAATGCTGTATCTGGATGGAGCTTTGATCAACTCTTGCAGACGAATCAGGCCTTGAATCAAAAGACAAGGAGGCAATTATTAAACACAACAGTCCCCGTTTTAATGGAAACCTCCCACCTGGAACATTTTAACTGTACAAGTTTACTTATATGATGTAAGGAAAAACTAAAATTCCACCTCCAAGGCCAAAGCTACCAAGCCAAATTCAATAAAATTGTGTGGAGATGTTTAGACATTCGCAGAAGAGGGATAGTGGATATGCAAAGGATACTGAAGATGTTAAAGCCATTCAAAAGAGGAAGACCACAGAGAAGATTTATGGATGCAATAAAGGAGGATTTGTAGAGTGTTGGTGTGACAGAAGAGGATGCTAGGAATAAGATGATATGGAGGAAGAAGGAAGATGATTTGCTGTGGAGACCCAAAAGGGAGCAGCCGAAATAAGGCGATGAAGAAGAAGGCAAAGGATCAAGCCACACAATTTTAGTTCAAATTCAATTCAGTTAACTTCCATTATATTTATTCACCACAACAGCTGGCTCAGTGCGCTTAAAATCCAGATTACTCTCTTTATAACTGCAAAATGAGAAATTGGCCTTGATTGAGGTCACTGCATTTTCTCCTGCTTCGTATTACAGCACCTCTCATTTATTTTTAGGGGCCTTTTATATGAAATTAAGCAGAGCACAAAAAAGCAAACCTTGTTTAAAGAAATCTATCATGTCAACAGTTCTCTGGTGTCATGTCGTAGGAGCAGCAAGAATTTAACATTTAATCATTTAATCTGATTATTTTGCATCCCACCACAACATTTGGCAGCTAATGGCAGCTATTATATATGAAACAAATATTTATTTTATTTTGACTTGAATGTGGATTTTTTGTTTTTGTTTTTAAAAGCATCTTTTAACCACAAGCTGCCTCATCTGCACTTTCATTGCTTCCTTCCTCGGTGTTTTCAAATCCCAGGTTTCCTCAAACTATGGGAATGCTACTTAAAGAGGTACAATGCTGTCCTCTGCAAAAGGAGAGATTTTTTCAACATCGGCAATAAAACTATATTTAAAAAATATTTAGTTACTGTAATTTGCCAGATTAAATTTATGCCTACTCTGGCACTATATTGGTTAATGCTGCAGTTCCACAAAGTGACCAGGAGGGGTCACATACCTAAAATAAGTGATTGCTAGCCTGATACTTAGTGGCCAGACACCCTGATAACCAGAGCCCCTGAAAATTTGGGGGTCACGTGGGTCATGTAGCCTTGAAATAGTTCCCGCAAGTACAGTCACTGCTGCTTACCGGGCAGTTTAAATGCATGTTGATAACATATCGTTGCAAATAAATAAATGATACTGAAATAGTATAATTTGCAACAGGAAATGTTTTTAAAAATATATTAGTAATATTCAAATGCTATAATACAGCAGTATGCAAATCATTTCACACTAGTGTAAATGCTTTAAAGAAATATGAATTATACAACTGTGATCTGCACATATTATTGAAAACATTTTTACAGGCTTTCGTGCAGCAGTTTGTGTCTCTTCCGGGATTTGAAGGGATGTTTTACTTCTTAGGGTATAAATCACCTCACACTGCACTATGGACGTTTTCTTCTATAGATAGACATGACTGGAAGCCGGAATTACTTTTAAGTAAGAATAAGAGGCGGTCGGATGATCCAAATATCAATCGTATCGATACCAACACTAGTATTGGTATTGGATCGATACAAGCACAATTGAATCGATACTTTGCTTTTATCCTTCAAATTCAGTATGTAGCCCACTGAACTGTGTTAATTATTTCTTTGGAAAAAATAAACCTCAAACGTGCATTATGAAAAATCTCCAAACCTTTTGTGGTCTTTACAGACAGAAAAATTTACATTCCAGTTTCAAAACACACAAAAAGCTGAAAGTTGTGTTTTGTTGTGTTAACTAATGAATATGGAAAGTAACAATCACAGTGGTGGTGAAAATGTGTTCAGAATTTGCAAATTGAGAATTCATCTTATAAATCATGGCACACTACTCGTCCCCCCATTAGCTGCCTGAATAACCAATTCGTACTGATATCGTCAATACTGGCCCTGTATTTACTTGGTATTGGATCATACCAAAATTTGTAGTGTGGCACACAACTACTGTGAATGAGGGAAAGTGTGAATGTTGAATGTTTTTGTTGAAACGTCTAGGCAAGTATATACATGTTAAATTACAAGATACACATGTTCAAATAGCATCAATTATCACAACTTCAGGATTTTATTTCTATATGAGATTTCTTCATAATTGAAACAATAAGAAAAAGTAGTCTGAAGTCCTGCAATGTTACGAAGCTATAATTTAAAATATAATAACACATTAAGTTTTGTACATTAAGTATCAATATCATCGATACCACCCTGAATTTGACTTGGTATGGGATCGGAAAGGAAATTATTGGTATTGCACGTCACTACTAGGCTCTTAATGTGTTATGTGCCCTCTAGTGGTCACATTGCGAATTTACAACCTTAAATTAACAAAACAACATGTTAAAAAAAAACAACAACAAATTAACATCAACATGATAAAAAAAAATATATATTTTCCTGCAGAGATTTTCAAACAAAAACAACTAGAAATTGTCTCTTGCAATTCTATAGCTAGAATATGTAAGTATTCTGGTCATTACTGTTTGGAGTTTACTTTGCTTTAGACATCTTTAGCATGAAACTAGCTTCCTCCACATTGGATCTTGTGTCGGAAAAAATGTTTTTTTTTTCAGCCACGCATAAGGAAATGGTGGGAGTCTGCCAGTTGTGATAATGTTTTATAATTTTCCACTGCAGTAGGACAACAGAATTCAAACTAAACACTGCATTGCCATCTTATGAACTACCAGACCTTTTAATGGATTTGCTTGCTAACCAGAATAGGTGCTCCACTCTGCCTTCCCTGTTCTCCAGGTAAGAAAGCTGTTCCTTTAGTTTTCTGCATATTTTTTTTTTCCTTGACAGAGTATGTGTCGTTTGGAGTTGCTCTGCGACAGCCTGTCGCACTTGTTTGGCAGCAGTCACAGAAAGTACGATGTTATCTTTTGTCAGTTGTCTGTTTGATTAGTGTTAAAGGCTAATTGTCAATGGATTGCTATGTTGCATATCTAAATAGTTGAAACTAAACTTCAGTGGCAATCAGTAATTCCCAAAGTTTTGTACACAAAGTGACTTGCAAAAATATTTTTAATTTCACAAGTGATATTTTAGTTGTTTTAAATTAGTTTTTTAAGTCAAAACATAGCGGCAATTTATAAAATGTAAATAATTGTAAACTTTACATTTCCTTTAAATATTAAAAAAGGAAAAAAGAAGCGCATAACAAAGCCAAGGTATTCTAAATAAATACACCACATTCTGCATTTCCTGCAATAGCTTTCAGGTGTTTCAAATAAAGCTGTTAATGATACTAGCAAAAATATTTCACAGTAGAATGATCAGAGTTGTGATAAAAAAAAAATTTGGATGGGCCACAGAAGATTTCGGATTTTTGAAGTGGGCCATGATGCTTTTGGAGACAAGATTTAGGCACAGATTATAGAATTTTCCATGAGGTTAAAGTACAAGACAACTGCATATACAGTATATGACGATATATTTTAAAGCTTTCATTTGGGCAACGCAATTCATTTTCAGAAAATGTTTCAAAATGGAGAAAATGCTTGTCTCGCTTTCCCCCCTGTAATGATAAGTGGAAAACTGAGCAAAAAGAGGATGAATTTAAATCAGTTATATTTGCATTAATAGAAAATGAATATAAAGTTCCTCATAGATGAGAAGGATAAACAGTTGCTGAAATACATTTTCATCCACTGTATAATTAGTCACTGAAGTCTTTGCAGCCTTTTAGTCTTAATCTGTGTTTACATTTATATGGTTTTCACCTAAAGTTGTAGAGTACCCCAACCAACAGAAAACATACCAAAAATCTGAACTTCAGCATCATTACAAAACAATGATGAATCACATTTAACAACAGAAACAACAAATCAGGACACTGAGCAGTATGCACCACTGACACTTAAAGTGCATTCCTAATGGCAAATACTGCTTATTTCTTAAGTGGCAGCTGCTCGTTAGAAGTGGTAAAATTTATACATTTGAATGTGATACATATGAAGTGCACTTAAGTACTAAAATGCCAGATTTTATTTTCAGAATTTAAGCACCTTGCATTTTCAGACCTTAGTGACACCACTTGTAGCCAGTATTGCAGCTGTACAGGTCTTTTTCTAGCAGTCCTTCAGCTCATGTTTGGGGGATTTTTCCCCATTCTTAATGTTCAAAGGCTTTCAGTCTTAAGAGTGCTTGCATGTACTGCTAGTTTGGGGTATCCATATGTTTTTGATAACACTGCAGAGTCCATGGCAAAATCTTCATCTTGTTAATTTTCAGGTGTGTTTAGGATCTAGTCTTGTATTATTTAGACAGATTTAGCTGCTGTTTATTCAATCCATTCTTCTGCCTCAAAGTTAAGTTTTCCCTTTTCCACTGGCTGCAAGACGAGCACCAATCCATCCCTGTGCTCAGCACCAGCTGGAGATGTATTGTTCTCATGAAACCATTGTTCTTTTATTTTTTCCTCCAAGCGCATTTTGGTTTGTTGTGGCCAAAAAAAGTTTATGTAAATGGATCATCTGGACTGATGGAGTTTAGATTAAAGACAGAAGGTTTACTGTAATGTGAGGACTTGATGGCTCTTGAGGGTCATATTTGTGCAGGTGTTGCTGCACAGAAACTGCCCCAACTACGGTTGAACCAGTGAACCAGCTACAAGTAGTTGAGTTTTGCACAGACTGGCGGAGATTCATTTATACGATGAATGCATGTAGTATCTTGGAGACCTGGTTGTTGTAGCTACTGCTAAACAGAAGGCCAGTGTAGAACTTTGAGTTTCTGAGCACAACCACGTTATAGGTTCTGCACCCTGATTTTAAATAATGTAGCATGCAGTATTGCCACCCTGTTTGTTGATGTAGACATTGACACTCTCCTCTGTTTGGTTTGCAGGCTTAGCTTTCTGGTTTTGTCTAATTTAAAACTAGAATAATCCCAAGAAAGTCATTCTGTATTATTTGTCACAGCTAGCATGGGGGCAGTTTTGCCCAAACCCAACACTGTCCCTCCAGACTATATAGTTCTTAAGGGCTTTTTCCATCACCTTGGGTCTTTATTTACCTTCGAGCAGTCATGGAAGAGATCAATTGGAAAGTTTTCTGGCGCTTTAAATCCCAAATCTTCTGTTCCTATTAATGAGGAGATTGGTACCTGAAAATGCTCAGTTATCTTCTTTTAGTCTTTTCTTACATGGTGGGAAAATTATTTGAACTCATAGAGTGCTAGAAAACTGCTTAGTGGAGCTCATGGCTGCTGATCATTAGGACAAGGTCTGAGGATTCAGAATAATCAGAAATACAGTTGTGTCACATGGTAATTGTTAAGAAGCCATAGCCCTAACATCTCAAGGTCTTAATCTTTTGTAAAGTAGCACAAAATGCAACAAATAATACAGCAGTCTTTCTTAAACTCTCAAAAAGAAAGCTTTATCTTTGACTTTATGTCCTTTGAAGGTCTGATCATCTGCTCCTCTCATAACTGCTCACAGTAACAGGACCATGACATATTCTAGCACAGTTAGCCAGGTTGAAAGAGTGTACATCACAGTGGCATTGGAAACTCTTGATTTAGAATCATCATAACTACTTGTGCATTATCCTCACTTCTTAGTTCTGTCTTATATTTGCTTCTTCCTGTTTATTTAGGAGTGATTTTTGTCTCACCATCTGTTGGGACTGACTTCTGTTTCCAGAAGACTTCTGTTCTTTAAAAGTTTTAGAGCACGTGCAGGGCACATTGACTCATCTATAAATAGCTTCAAGGTAATTTAACAGGGTTGCTAAGGCAAAGACTTGCAGGAGTTGTAGTTCTTATTTCAAGGCCACTTTATAAATATGACAAACAGTTGCCACATTTTTATACTTTAAAAGTAAAGTTTATGTTCTTCCTGCTGTGTTAAATCACTAACGGCCCTTCAGTATGATAGTGAAGTCTGTGTTTCCCTCCAGATCTTATGTTGTATCATTCATTCCCATCTCAACTTACCAGTTGCATCCTCATAGACCACAGTAACCGTCTTCCACTTGTAGAATTGCACTATGTCCAACACAGCTCTGCTTATAGAGGCATATTCAGGATAGAGGTTAATGTAGAAGCTGTCTTTGTTGTCCACTGATGGGTGTTTCCAGCGTGTCTGGATGTGAGGGACTTCCAGGGCATTACAGATAGACTGGACCGCGCTGACCGATGAGCTGTGAGAGGGTCCAAAAACAGCACCGACGCCCAGCGCCAACTGGTCACAGGCTGAAGTAATCAAACAGAAAGTGGGAAGAAAAGAAAATCTCAACAAAAATCTCTTACTGATTCTCAAGTGGGGTTTCAAAATTAAATGACAAGATCTTTACCTCTTCTTGAAGCCTCAAAACTGTCGAATAAGTTTATTCTCTGGATGTCATAGGTCAGCGTGGTGTTTGGCATTAAGGTCCGGTTCCTGTTTATGTTAGTTACGGCAAATTTAAAGGCCAGTTCTTCAACACTAATGGGCTCATTTTCAAGAGTCTCAAAGATGCCCCCTGCAAGAAGAAAAAAGTGGAAGGAGTTTTACCCAGCTCACATCAAAGCGCTAGCAGAAAAATTATCGATCAATTGGCTTCTCTCGGTATAGATATTCACGCAGTGTCTTTTTAAAGATTGAAGGTTACCACAGCTGAATTGTAATAGTTGCATAATACGGCCCCATTTCCTTTGTACTTCTGTCACATAATGCTGCTAAGGGACCCAGTTGAGATGACAGGATTTAATATTATTCAAATTAAAAGTTGAACTCTCCTGGCTTCAGCCTGTTACAGAGCCTGAATTTCACAAGCTGTCACAATAACTTTTATGAAAGCTTTGGCATTTGTTCAGTTCATTTTCACATAAAGGATAACAGATTAAACATTTAGCACATATAATCAGGGGAAACATTTCAGCCATCCCTTATTCTCTTATGCATTTACACATTTTTCAATTAGGGGGAAAAACCCCTTTCCAAATCAAAAGACAGTCATACTTATTAATCTTGTTTTGTAGTTTTGTCTCCTTTGCAACTTACTGCTACTGGAAACAGTCATCATACCTAACATATCAAGTCACCAGCTTGTGATTTACAGATCACTTAATGAAGCCAAAAAATGTGAGGTGACTTACTGTGAAAGGGTTAAAGGTGCCAAAGCACCCGTGCTCTGAAAAGCTAAACTTTAGCACTTGTTTTAGTGTCTATAAATTTCTTTATTTCAAGTAACATGACTTTAGTTATCATCCGTTTGCATCTGCGTTTAACTACTTGAAGATGCAGTAATGAAGATGTTTCCTCAGAGTTTCCCTGCATCTGTTGTTTTGTAAGTACTGTGAAATGCTTTTCTGGTGCTAGAAATTTTTTGACAACTTTGGGCTAATTAAGTACAAGTACAAGCTATTTTATTGTCATATGCTCGTGTAAATAAACACAGTGGGTTTGTACTGTACAGTGAAAGTAGGTTCCTTTCACACAGCAGTTACAGAAATATTTTAATATGATACATAACATAAAATGAGAAGTATATTAAGATAAAATAAAGAAATGAGGAACAGAATTAAGCTCAGATTTTAATATAAAATGCAGTTTGTGAAAATGACAGCACCAGGATAACATACATGGCCACAAAGCTAACCTCTGTGAGGTCACTGTACATGGACAGCTTCATCATTGTCGCTGCATGAAACACTTTAACAGAAGGAATATTCCCAGAAGCTAACTGTTGTCCCTCATAGTCAAGAGGACAATTTTTAGACGTAAATTAGGCTTATCGGGCATTTTGTAAATTCTTTTCTAGTTTTTAATATTACATGTACAACTTTGTAACAATATTTAGGAGCCCAAGGTAACAAAAACAAAATGATTATTGTCAGTTTACAGTAATGGTGAAGAGCAAAGTCCTCACATTTTACAAGCATGAAAAAGGGGGAGAAGTTATTTAAAATGTATTAGAAGTATTTATCAAATATGATATTAATATATATGATATTCACAATACTATAAAGACACACTTAGCGCAGAAGTTCTCATTTAATCAATTATTTAAATTATTAATTTCAATTAATATGCTTTTTGAGAGGCACCACGTCTCTGTACAGTCCGACGGTACTTGTTCTTATGTAGCACTGGTCATCACCTTTAAACTGAGATTTAAGTGGCTTTAAAGGTAAATTCAGTCACTTTTAGCCACAGTTGGTGTTTGTGCCAGAGCCACAGAGGAGGAGGAGGAGGGAGGGGAGAAGGGGGGGGTTATTTCAGAGTTGAGAAGATCATACTGAAAAACATCCAAGTCTTAATCCATCATGCTGCTCCAGAAAGATGGCGGGTCTAGCATGCCACAGCTGGCAACAAAGACATATATGACTCCAGCCAGGCACATGCACAGTCTTTTACATTTGTTACATAAAGCGCAGCTTAAAAACTATTGGGATTAAAGCCAGAAAAAATACTGGATTGTTGCTACCTGCGTGCAGACAGGCGCGTGTGAGATTCAGTGTGCTTATGCCTGCCGAAAATTCCCCTGCTCATTCGATTCACTGAAGCCTTTCAAATGTAAATAATTTAACATCTGGGCCTTCAGTGATAGGATTTCTCATCTAATATATTCAGGGTTAAATGTTTGTTCCTATTGCATTGCACTTCACACGTGTCAACAGACTTGGGTCCAGTGCTGAATGCTGTGGGTAAGCAAGTTGCTTTCAACTTTGACATATTTTTAACTAACAAAACAAAGACTACAATAATGCATTTTTGAAAGCTCTGCCTTTTTCAGAAATGTTAATCAGGCATTATATTAGCAATCATCACAAATTATAGATCCCATTTAGATGGTGCAAGTGTTTGCGCATGACCCCGCTTCAACACTGAGGCTACAGATGGCAATAGGTCACTGCACTCTCAGTCTTTGAAGAATTGCCTGTGAAATTGTGATTGATTTGGAAGTAGAAAAGGCCTTTAAAAAGCTCCCCCTGAGACCTTGATTGTGAATGACCTTTTTCTTTGGTGTTGCATAGCCTCAAACCCCAAACTGAGAGAGCCTTGTCTGGACTCCCTGGTCACTAAAAGCATGCTTGAAAGTGCCAATCCTAATTATGGTTACCAAGCCTCAGTGAGCAGCTGCTGGGACCTGTTAAAGTCCTTAATTCACTCGACTGAAATATAAAATTCTCAGCCACAGATACATCAGTCAGTTTATAAATTTGAGAGGAAGTAGATTCTATTTCACTGTCTTTGGTGCCTCTTTTCCTTTTAAGGTGTTTTTTTTAAGGTAATAGAATAGGAAATGCACACGAGTACGCACCAGCTGGATCCTGAGGTTTGTTTGCTTAAAGTGCAGAGGCTGCAGCAAATGTCACGGGCTTTATTAAGGATTCAGCAGCATCACAACATCATCGTCATCATCCTCAGTGACAGAGATTTTGTTTTTCATTCTTTAACAAGGCTGTGAAAATGGATCATCCACTTTCTGAGGGAGTTAAAAATAGCTGCTGCTCTTAAGATTTTCTGATTTATATGATTTGCAGTTGGCGTCTAATTTTATACATAATCACTTTTCCATTCACATCTAAGAGCTCAAAATGTAATGACATTTGCACCTAACAGTATAATACAAAATGTCTTTTTAAGACTCAAAGACTATGAAAAATGAATGTAGCTTCACCGATATGTTAAAAGCTGCCAAATAAAAACAAACCTATTAGGAGCTCGACTTATATTTGACTTACTGATAAAGCTATCATTTTTTTAAAGATGAGCTGTAGCTATGAAATCTTTATTGCCAACATAATAAAGCTTATTAATTTCCTCTCTGAAGCTTGGGAGCAGGGAAATCAAACTGGTTAACTTTCCCTTCATTTCACCTTGAAATAATGCCTTAAAATTTGTTTAAAGTGCAACAACTTACTTGATTTCCTGAGAAAGAACCTGATTTGAGGAAGGCTGGTGACTGTCAGTAGTCAGTGTCATTAGATAACTAGTAAAAAATATAAACTATCACCAGCTTACCTAAGGTAGTTTCACTCTGCAGGAAAATTCCCATCTTTCTATTAGCTCAGTACCACAGGCCTAGAAACTAGTCTGCGATCCTCTGGCAACCATGAGTCACCAGGGAAAAATATGTATTCCCCAACCAGTTGGCAAGTGGTTGCTGGCTGTCAAGGTGAAATTGGTCACAAAGAGGTGGCAGGGCTGCACTGAAACACCTATTTCTGACTGTTTTGGCAGATGACCCTTGTCATAGTTCGTAAGGAAGATGCTAACTGCTCACCATGAAGTAGTGATTCAGTGGAAAAAGGCTGACTTTTTGCCTTCAAAGTAAAAGGACTTAGCGATAAATAGGTAAATTATTAAACTTTTAATATAAATGAAACTCCATTTCTGGTTTGTGTTGCACTTTTTCAAATTTCACCATTACTGCGAGTAGAGTTGGATGTCTCAAGACCACTTTTACGAGGTCTTGGTCTTGCCTTGGTCTCGACGGACTTTGGTCTTGGTCTTGTCTTGGTCTCGCTGTCTCGGTCTTGCTGTCTCAGATCGACATAGTAGTAGGGAGGTTTGAAGTCAACAGTATCCATGACACACAACGTAACGTTCGATAATGTGTCATGCGCAAAAGCATCAGCTCTAAGAGCCGTGCTTAGAGAGTGCTTTGTAGTGAATCAGAAGAGCCGACTCCCATTGAGTGAGAGCCGTCTCCTCACTTAATTTCCTTTCGCTGCTCAGCTCTCACACAGTGGCTCAGCTATGCTCCAATCCTTCCATATTGTGGCCAATCACATGTGAGGATATAGGATAATATCATCATGTGAAAAACAGAGAGGGTGAGAGACGCGACAGTCAAGTGGAGCGTGAGCCTGTCCTCTCAGTAAGTGAGTGAGACAGTAGACAGTGGTGAAGAGGGCTGTGCGAGTGCATCGCAAAAACACAAAAATATGCCTGACACTCGTAAACGAAGCAGCATCTGGCTGCAGTTTAAAGACCTTTTTGTCTCGTCTCAGTCTTGGTCTCGTCTCGACTTTGTCTTGGTCTTGGTCTCAATACCCTCTGGTCTTGGTATTGTCTTGGTCTTGGTTTAGGCGGTCTTGACTACAAGTCTAACTGCGAGTAGTTGGCAAGCAGGGTGTCTCCAAGCAAGGCTAACCCACCATCAACCATCCAGACAACTGAAGTGAAGAGCAGATCTCAGGGTATTTTTTGGGGGGGGAGGGGGAAATGGTTTTAAATTAGCTAAAGTATATATATATATGATTGAAAATTCAGTCCAGGCTTTTTAATTAAGATCTCACAAAAACACTCTGTGTATATCACCAGAAAGTAATTGAAGTTTGCTTCGTCCAAGGCTCTAACAGCTGGCGTCAAGTGAAGATTCAGTGCTTCTTTTGTCTTTTTAGGAAGACATTATTAAAGTTGCACATATAGTCCAGGAATCGTCTGAAAGATGTGGAAATCAGAAAAGCTTTGAATGCAATGCATTCACAGTGCAATAGACAATGACGCATCTGTTCCTTTGTTTGGTGGAAAATCTTTACCACAGCCTCAGATCCAAACAGAGCATCAAATTGGAGTCCAGCTGATATAGACACTGATGTTCGAGTTTGTGTTTTACAAAAAAATGTACCCTTTAACACACAGCAACAGTGATATACATATTTTCCATTAACTACTAATTTTATGTTAAAATGGTTAGAGATCAAGATATGTGGCTAATAAATGTGTATCTTTTATGAAATTGATCTTTTCGCTTTTGCAGCAGACATATACAAGCCTTCAGACGATGCTGTGTGTTTGTTTGGCTCAGTGTATCTTTATAGTATTTTGAATATCTACATTTCATAACTTCAAACCAGTCATGACAGTCAGTTCTCAAATATAATACTGATAAATTGGAAGACAAATAAGTGTTTGTTTGCAGATGACACATGAATCAGTGCTCCCTCTCAACAGGTTAACAGATGAAGGGATAAGAAAGGATCATTTATACTTTTATAAAGATTAAACGATAGAGCAGAAATCACTAGAAATATTTTCCTCCCAAAATTGTGAATATCCAGTAGGGAAGCTTTCAAATGTGAGTCCTGAGAGTTAAAAAAAGAAACAACCTATGAATAGTTACCATTAATTTGTGTATGATATAATTTTCAGGATCACTGAGCTTCCGTCTCATCCTTAATAGGCCAGACAATGGTTTGGGGTAATGTATGCTAGGAGGTCACAAAAACAAAAGATTCTGCTTATGCTGCAGGCGGAAACCTTTAGGCTGATCCTTATTATAGGCTTCCTCACTTCAGTGCAGACAGCAAGAAAAATAACCGGGTTCAGGTTCTGGCAACAGGATGGACTTGATTTTAATCCAGAAACCCGCTGACATTGAGACAGTGTCCTTCAAATAATTATTTTAATCCACTTTTTGTATTATTTTTTTGTGACCGTGCAATAATCACATGAAGGAGAGTCTTTTAAGGCAGAGGAACACAATGACGTAGTGTTGTGCTTTCTTCCTTCTCCCCATCCTGGGCCAGTTCCCAAAGAGACCTCCCGCCCCCACCCCAACAACACCACCAGCACCACTCCAACCTGGAGCTATGCCAGACTGTGAATGAATGAGAAGGTCCTCACAGCCTACTATGTTTGTTTGATGTAGAGCACTGAGGTCTCTCTGTTTATGTGAAAGATCCTTGCGATTCACTAGGAAACATTCAAAATGAATAAACATATAAGTAATCTTCTATATTAATACAGCCAGAGTAATACTCTACCAGATTTAAAAACTGTATACTGGAATATATATACTTCATCAAATTATAATTCAGTTGTTGATCTGAGCTGGTGCCACATTTCTCATCATATGGACTGAGCTATAAATACACAAATGAAACATAATGTATCAGAAAGTAATCATTAAGTATGCAAGCAAGAGGAGAAAAAGAAATTTAACAAAAGGGAAAGTAAACAGAAGGCCCAGCTACATCTGTTAATTCTGTGTTGATTCTGTGCTCTCCCCAGTGATGAGATTTGGTCACTGCCTAAGTACCATATTTGGGGAAGAGACTTAATGCATAAAGAAGATTAGAGTTAGTTGTTTAAGGGCTTGGAGCACAAGATTTACCATTATTACCAGTCCCAGTGAAAAAAGTGGGAGCCTGTCACAATCTGATGCAGACGCTAGCCAAGACGGAGAAATGTTAATTGAGCCAAGCCACACACCATATGGGAGGGATTATGATGTGTGTGGGTCATGAAGAGAATGACAAAGATTAGGTGGCCTTTGAGAGTGATAGATGATTGAGAGATTAACAATATAGAGCACAGATCGGGACTGTTGAAACCAGGAAGTCACACCGACTTCTTAGCCTTTTAAAGTTATGCAACACCACGTTTATTATATTCTTTTAAAAATTTGAATATATATTCAAATTCAGAGTTGCTGCAGGCATTAAGTAAAACGACGAGTCCTTAGGGCTAAATTTTAAAAGCCATTTTTGTGATGCAATCTTCTAACCCATGTGAATAACCAATGGGAGAAGAGCAAAGAGCCCGAAAGTATTAATTTGCAGCAAACACCGGCTCATTGTTCCAAAGTTACATCAGAGATCAAAGGGGGGATACTGAAGCAAGAGCTCTGTTTGTTTAATTACAGGCACAGAGGGAAATTGAAATTACTCTTCTTATCAACCCTCAAAGGCTTAACAGACAGCTTTGGACTCAGATCCACATTTACAGATGTCACTGGCCATCAGTGCACACAAAGCTTAAAAAACCTTTGAGTATGAAAGGGTAGGGAGCAGCCAAATATATATATATATATGTATATATATATAAGTTTTGCTGAATTGCCCACTCTTTATTCTTTAGTGATGTATCAATTTCACAGTGCTGTGTGCCAAGGAGAACATTATGCCAACAGTATATGCTTTCAGATGTAGCAGTAGGCCAACTTAATCACCCGTCTCTCCTCCTGTTCTTTGCTGTCAACATGGAAGGAAAAGAGAGAGAAAGAGAGACTCTGCCATTGGTCAACCAAAGTGGATTAACACAATTTTGATTAAAAAAAAATTTCATTTGAATAACCTACAGCTCGGTCCGCAGTACCCTCTCTTGGAGTAAGAAAAAAAAATACAGTAATAAAAATTATAAGGTTATTGCACAAACATCACAACAGGTGAATAAAGTTGAATATGTCTTTTTTTTTTTTGACAATGCTTTGTACTCAGTGCATGCTAGGCAACTTAGTGAGCGACAGTTACATGATGGCAAGACGCAACAACAACTGCACATTCAAAATTTGCTCCTAAAAACAACATATGTGATGTGCCTCGATCTCGTTTGGCTCTATGGTATTTAACTTGTGGTCGAGGGTATCAGGATTCAAAAGCGATTCAACTACAGTAGCTGAGATGTACATTTGCAATGAACAGACATCATTTCACAAATCTTGGCCATAATTGAATTTGCCTTCTTTGTTCTTTTAAAAGAAATGAAACAATATGCTGCACTTGCACTGAGAGAGATTAAGAATGCCTTGCATTACGAGAAACCACAAAACTGTGTTTATATATTTTATGTATTCATTTAATTATTTAGGTGCCATTCTATAGGGAAAATACATTTTAACAATTCCAATCAGTGTTGCACAGAAAGTATTGCCAATTTTTCAAGGCTCTAGCTTGAAATCCTTGATACATAATATTTTTTTACCCCAGTGGGAAATGAGATGCAACCCAGACTGCATAATAACTGGGTCAGCAATGGAAAAAGCTGACGAGCGCAGTGGCAGCCAACATGTTAACAGTTATTATATAAATATTTATGACATTGACACTTTTACCACTTACCAATTCTCAGGACTTGCTGCGAAGTGAGCCAAAACTCTGCCATAAAGTACAGCAGCGAAAATAACAGTCCCTTCCTTTTCACCATGGTCATTCCTCCAGAGCTGAATTTAACATTTATGGCAAATTTATTTTTCTTTTTTCCCCTTAGTAATTCATGCTGATAACCTGCCAGTCCTTGTATCCGTAACGAAAATAAACTGGCATCCGACCCATATCCATCCCTCACACATTGTGGTGAGAAAAAGAAACAACACAACCACACACTCCACTTGAAGTTGTCACTGATCAAAAGATTTGATCAGATTTTTCCATTCTAGGATCCTTTGTATGCCTGTAAGGTTTTGTTTCCCATATTCACTGTCCAGATAGCCTTCTTATCATGTTTTTCCCGGTGCACACTTGAATTGTAGGCTGCAACTGAGGAGGAGGACCGCACTGGGCTCCTGTTGTCAAGTAAGCAGCAACGGGAAACAGCTTCTGCTTACAAATTTCACAATAAAAGATGAAATGGAAATCAATTTGGAACCATACAGAAGATGAACAACATTCTTTTATTTAATTTAACAAAAAATAGAAATGAAATAATAATGTAACACATACATACATTTTTCCCCCAATAAAATACATAGCCATGAATGTCCCTCATTTTTATACTGAGCAAAGTGTGTTTTTATTTTCCCGAGGCTTTAATCACATAAATATGTTGATGACTCATTTGGCATCCTCTGTCCGAAACACCTTTTATGTCAGTGCTTTAATTCTGAAATCAAATTCGCCTCGTTTCCGCTGTCGCTCACTGTGTCATCGGCTCACTCGACACAGTTGAAGATCCTTCCCATACAGGCGCTCAATTGAGGGCACTGCCAAGCCGCTGATCCGCAAACATGGATACGTCCTGAAGATTAACTTCAAATCTGGCAACATTCGACCTCGACAAGATCTCTGCTTTGGTACACCGAGGAATGATTAAATCTTTGGTCCAGTCCTGATGGAAACGCAAATCTAATCTCCATACTGGTCGTTGACGCTCCCTTGAAGATTAACTACCTCAAACCGTTCAACTGCCGCGGTCTTGTAGTTAAATAAAATGTGTTCAGGTTACCTTGATACTCTTTGCTTTATTCCTTGAAGAAGAGTGGCTTGAGATTTGAAGTGGCCATTCTGAACCAAGAATGTCTGATGGGTTTCTTGAGATTAGTGTAATTACTATATTTGTGATTATCAGGAAATTGGCTAAATTAGAGAGTGATATTTAAGCTGTTTTTTCCCACTCACAAAGTAAAAGCTCAATATCCTCAACTGTAAAGTACTCTTTAAAATTCATTTTCTAGTAAGTAAAATGTAATGAATTTATCACAATGTCAAATAAAATAGTTTACGTACATCCAACAGCATGCATGTTATGGACATATTTTAACATGAGACTTCCAAAACTGATGATCAAAAAAAATCGCTTGTTGTGGTTGAACGTGTGAATGGAGAACAAAAAGCTACTGTTGCTTGACCATGGATAGTTTTTGCTTTGCTTTAAGCTTAATCCTGGTGCC